TCCGCACTTAGCTCTCGCGCGACGTGGCGGAGGGCCTGGCGCACCTGCACCGATTCGGGGTGCTGCACCGGGGTAAGGAGCTGCACCGGGGTAAGGGCGTGGTTGGATGGCACTGTCGTCGTTGAACACGTCGCGGCGCGCCCGTTGCAGCGCTGGTGTGGTGTGGGGGCGCCCACCTAAAGTAACATGTCCATGTGCACGCACGTTGTGCTATGGTTCTCGCTGACCACGAGCAGGAAATGGATGCCTGTGGTGGTTGCCTGTCGCCAGCTCACGCGACATCTTTCATCTTTCGTTTCCCCCTCCCCCCTCTGGGCCCCCGACCCCCTCAACACGCAGATCTCAAGCCAGGCAATGTCTTGCTTGACGCTAAAGGACGAGCCAAGATTGCTGACTTTGGCATCTCGCGACTCCGGGTAGGGGGAGCCGAGGCCCCGTCGGGGGGGGTCGCCTATCCTAATTGGGGGGGGAGAGACCCCGGGGGCCGTGGGGCAGTAGCTCACAGGGCTTGGGCTTGGGGGGAGGGTAGGATGGAACGGGGGGGCGGGAGTCAGGCGTCTGGGGGCGTGAAAGTGCGAACACGCAGCAAGTTCTCTGAAAGCCGTCGTGTCTCCCCCGAGGCTTGATGTGGTTGTTGGCACATGGTCCCCCCCCCCTTCTCCGCTTCACTCGTTCGTTGTTCGTCCTCCCCCCCCCTTCCCCGCCATTGTGCCGTCTGTCCAATGCCGCCCGTGTCATCTCGGCCATCGGGTGGCAAGGTAGCCCAGCAACCTCGTGGCCTGTTTTTCTTCCCCCCTTCCCCCCCCAGCTTCACTCGTTCGTGGTTCGTCTTTTCCCCCCCTTCCTTCCCGTCTTTCACCACGTTGATCTCTCGCACAGGATCCGTACCGCTCCTGCGTCAACGTGACTCAGCAAGGCGGCACGGTGAGAGGGGCATGGCGGAGGGGGGTGGGGTGGGGGAGTGTTGAGATGCCGCCGGAAGGGGGTGATGAGGCTACGACGAAGCATAGATGATTGACGCGAAGAAAAACGAAAAAACCATAGACGGATGCCCCAAGTTAACACCAATACTGCAGGAGGAGAAGCAGCAAAATACTGACCCATAGTGACTTGATTTGTAGATACCGCGGCAACGAAAGCTAGTTAGTGATGAGGGAGGGAGGGTGGGTTTGGAGGAGGGTTGATCTGTAGCTCGCCGCAACATATTTAAAAAAATGAATGTTGCTGCTCGGGGAACTGAGAACGTCGTGCTTGCTGCTCCCTGGTTCGCGTTCGTGCATCGGTGCTCGGAATTTTCACCTCTTAATTCAAATGCTTTGGCTTGGCTTCTAATTCGGCTTGCTTTGGCTTGGCCTCGCCTTTTGTTCGTCCCCCTCCTGCCCCTGCTTCGGCTGAACCTGGCCGGCACCTCGCCGCTACCTCGCCACAACTGCTGGAAATGCCGCCAACGGTATTGACGCCAACGGTATTGACGCCAACGGAATAACCGCAGCCCAACTACATGGCGCCGGTGAGTGATAGCGACTTGGGGAGTCGCAGCCGGGAGAGCAGATCTGGGGCTGCGCAAGGCTGTAAAAGGAGACTTGGTCTGTCTGATGTGTACACGTGTATACATGTACACGTCACCTGGAACTACATCGTCCACTTCCCGACAGGGCCCTTTCTCTCTCTCTCTCGCTCTCTCTCGCGCGCATGCGCGCGCGCACACACGCTCCACTTCTTCCTCATTCGTTCTCCTACATGCCACTCCTCCTCCACACACAATCTCATCGCAGCCCTTCACCCTTTCCTAACCCTTCCAGGAGCTGTTCAACGGCACCCGGGTGGACGAGCGGGCCGACATGTACAGCCTGGGTGGGTGTGTTCCCGATGTGGGTTGTTGGGGACGCCGGATAGTTCCTTTTTCAAAGTGTAGCTGGCGATGTGGGGAAGGGCCCGAGTTTTCACGGCGCGCAGGTCATGTCCGGGTTGGACCAAGGTTCACTCGCTCGTGGTTCGTCTTTTCCCCCCTCTCGACCAGAAGCCGCAAACGTCACAGCATCCCACTGACGCCTGTGTCCGCCTCTCTGTATACCTCGGCCCCCTTAGGTTGCATCATATACGAGGCGCTCACTCGCAAGGTGCCCTTTGACCATCTCGTCCGTGGGGGAGCGCCCATGGGCGTGGCCGTAGGTGCAGCGGCGGGAATGGGCGCCGGAGGTGGCGCAGCCGACGGCGCTGAGGGCGGCGGCGGCGGTGGCGGCGGAGCTGCCGCTGGCGGTCTAATGCCCGTTCCGTTACCGATGGGCGGTCTGTTCGCCATCATCCTGGCGGTGGCGATCCAGGGGAGGCGGCCGCCGCTGCCGGAGTGGGTGCCCGGGGGACTGGCGGACCTCATTCGGGGTTGCTGGGCGGAGGATCCGCGCAGCAGGCCTTCGGCAGCGCAGGTACGGAAGGAAGGTAAAATGGACATTAAGAATGCCCCCGGACCATTCCGGGCGGAGGAATATATATGTCCATATATTACCAGCCTGTGTAACACACCGGCGAGCTATTAGATTAGGGCGGAAGAATGGGAATGGCCAAAGATGTTGAAACTATTTTTATAGCTGTGAAGAGAGTGGCAGCCCCTGTACAGCCCGTGGTGGCAGCTCCTGCACAGCCCGTTTGCATGTATGTATGTTGTTACAGGGTGGTTAACTTCGCCAGCGGCCCCCTTTCCCGGGGCAGTCCCTGCTCTCCCCTGCTAGAGGGGCACCCTAATCCGTCACCCCATCCGACTTCAGAATGTATTCGTTGGGTTCGGCAACTCACCACCAGCATCCAACCAAATCTAGCGGATCAACGGCGCATCAACTTAGTTCCTGGTCAGCTCGCAAGTTGATATTATCACGTCCTACACCGTCCATAAGATGGGGGGCCACCTCCCATTTCATCACTCCTCAAACACCCGAGGAGCCGGCAGGCGGATTTGAACCCGGGTCGACTGGGTCAACTGGGAGCAGAAGTCAGGCCTTAACCTCTGCCAGCCGCCTGCCTGCATGTATGTATTTCTTTGGAACTCTACAGTTAGGAGCAGTTGGGAGCAGTTAGGAGCAGTTAGGAGGAAAAACATGTCACATTTTTCGATTCATAACCTTGCATGATAAAGCAAGGACAGGATTTTGCCGGTAAGTAAACACTGAAAAAGTATTCGACTTCTAGCATCATCCCCAGAATGGTACAGAAGGCTCGGGGAGGGGGGAGGCTGGGGAAGGCTGGGGATGTATATGCCCCGGCCCGCCCGGATACGCGTTTGCTGGCCGGCTGGCTGGCTGGCTGGCTGGAAGAAACATGGACGCGAGGCACCCTATGCGGTCTGGCGGATTGGCTGCAGGTATACGCCCGGTTAGACGGGCTTATCGCTGAGGAGATGGGCCGGAGGGCTGCGCGGGCGGCGAGGCTGGGCGGCGTTCGGTCCCGCACCAGTCGCCTCTATGGGGCAATCAACACCGCGCTGCCGGGCATGGCCGCCACTTCCTCGTCAGGTTAGTACCGGTTGGTGGGGTCTGTGGTGGTGCTGGATCCGGGGTCTGTGGGGGTGCTGGATCCGGGGTCTGCGGGGGTGCTGGATCCGGGGTCTGCGGGGGTGCTGGATCCGGGGTCTGCGGGGGTGCTGGATCCGGGGTCTGCGGGGGTGCTGGATCCGGGGTCTGCGGGGGTGCTGGATCCGGGGTCTGCGGGGGTGCTGGATCCGGGGTCTGCGGGGGGTCTGGATCCGGGGTCTGTGGTGGTGCTGGATCCGGGGGTCTGTGGTGGTGCTGGATCCGGGGTCTGTGGTGGTGCTGGATCCGGGGTCTGTGGTGGTCTGGATCCGGGGTCTGTGGTGGTGCTGGATACGGCGCGTGCAAGTTTATGGTTATGAGGCGGTTGCGTATGTTGGGTTTGCGGAATGCAGATTCCGTGATGTCGGTAGTCAGGGTGGGCCGTGCGCGTGTGTACTGGCCTGTAGGACTGCGGTTGTAGCGGGAGGGAGGGTTAGCAGGCCAAGAAAAACGAGGAGGAGGAAGGAAGGAAGGCCTGCTTCACAGTAGAGAAAAGTGTGCTCCTCCTCCAGCTCCCACAGCCTAAGTGGCCCGTCACGGCTGCTGCATCACGTGTTTGCACGTGTTTGTCAGTGGGCCATGGACCATCTCTCTCTCTCCGTGTACGCAACGCAACGCAACCGTCCGTCCGTCCGTATGTCCGTCCGTATGTCCGTCCGTATGTCGGTCCGTATGTCGGTCCGTATATATCACGACATGCATCCATACGGCCGTCAGACAGACAGACAGACAGACAGGCAGATCGACAAAAGAAATTGACAGATCGACGACAGACGGTCTGACATCCCGGCACCTGCCGGCAAGGGGCCCAACGCCACTGTCGTCCCTTTCCCTCTGCCATCGCCGCTGCAGGTGGACAGCCGCTGCCGTCACCGCCGGCGTCGCCCGCGATGATCGGTGCGCCGCCGCCCGTGCCGCCGTCGCCATCTCACCCCGGCGGGCGCCGGATACCGCCGCCACCGCGCTCTTACGAAAGCAGTGCCGACCCCGCTGGCAGCAGCACCGGCAACGGCAACGGCAGCGGCCGCGGCGGCAAAAGTAGCAACGACGCTGGCTCTCAACCTCGCAAGGCGCAACTGCGTCCGGCAATGTCAGCGCCGCCGCCGGAGGGGCTGGTTTCTGGAAGCGATGATCGTAACACTGCTTCACGTACGTCCTCCTCTGCTTCGTCGCCCGCGGCGGCGGGGGCAGCCGCCGCTGCGGCGGCGGCGGCGGCAGCCGCTAAGCGGCCGCTGCAGCCCTCTTCCCTTCTCAGATCGGGCCCCGATGCGACAGCCGGGGAGGGAACCTTCCCGATTGGGATGCTGACCCCCGCCGCGCCCCAACAGCAGCAACGGCAGCAGCAGCGCCAACAGTCACAAGCCATTGAGCACCTGCATTTGATTGCGCCCTCGTCACCGGCCCCGGCTGCGGCGCGGCTGCAATCCCGGCCGCTTCTATCTCCACCACCACCGTTGCCGTCTCCACCATCATCTCCCTCCTCCAGGCTCTGCGCTGCGTTGCCGCCACAGCAGCCGGTACTTCCGCGGCTTGACCTGCCGCCGCCCCAGCCCCCCGCAGCCAAGGCTGACGATGCTGTGTTACATCCGTCGCCGCCCAAGCTGCCTCCACCGCCTTCACTGCAGCAGCAACAGCGGCAATTGCACTTGCCGTCACCACCGTCACAGCCGCCGCAACAGCAACCGTCCATTGAGAATGGCAGGGTGGAGCACGCGAGGACGAGCCGGGGTGAGGAGAGTGAGGGGAGGCGATCCAGCGGTAGATCTGTACTGTCATTGTCGCAGATGGCTGCTGCAGTCTTCGGTGAAAGGGCCTCTCCGGCGACCAGCATCTGGTTGGGGGGAGCACGGAGCGACAGCAGCAGCGCCCCAAGAAATGCCGACAAGAACGGCAGTGCAAACGCCAGCAGCGGTGAAGAGTCAGCGCGCAGCGGCTCCGCCGGCCGCACCCCGGGACCGGCGGAGGTGCCGGCAGCGCTGCGGACGCGGCGGCGGGAGCAACAAGAGGCAGGTCCTGCAGGTGCAGTGGCAATGGGGCGTCGATCACCTGGGGCGTCAATCGCGGCGACGGGGGTGTCCGGTGCTGCAGCAGGTCGCAACAACGGCAGCTTGGATCGTATCGTGGAGGCGCAGTCGATGGATGGGGAGCCGGACGACGCGGCGCGGCGGCGGGCCGGTTGGGTGCATCGCGGCGGCGAGGCCGAGGCCGACAACGGCGGCACTGTTGTTGAGGTGGCGGAGCGCTTCTTCTCTGCCCGCAGCCGTCCCGACCCGCAGACGTCGGACGACTACTGCACGGTGGATGAGGATGAGGTCGCCCTTGGAGAGGAGGTTGGCAACGCCGGTGGCGGTGGCGGTGGCGGCAGCGTGGCGCGGCGCCGTACAAGGTCGCGACGCAATAGCGCGCGAGCAGCACCTGAGGACAGTGGCGGTGGCGGTGGCGGTGGCGGTGGCGGCGGCGGAGATGGAAGCGGGGGTGGCCTCGGATCATTCCGCCGCGGCACAACGGCATCGGCCAGCAGCTTCGGCAATGGCAAGAAGCCGCTGACGCATCGCATGTCTGGTGGCAGCGAAATACGTGCAGCGCAACAGCCATCGCCATCGCCGATGCCATTTGCAGGAGCACTTGGCTGGGGGGTGCAAGAGTGCGATGACAGAGCGCCACCACAACACGGAGCTATCCTTGGCAGCCACGACGCTGGTCGTGGCGGTACGGCGGGCGATGCAGATGGGCTTCCAGCCGCTTCCGCGCCGCTGGGGGGACGGCCTGGGAGCGGCGGCAGCATTGCTACGTCGGCTGGCGGCGCCTACGACCAACATCGCCGTTGTCGTGTGGCGCCGCTGTCGGCACGGGAAGCGGACGTCGGCGGCCCCGCCGCTGCAGACATGGCGACGACGGCGCATGCATCCACTGGGGGAACCGCTGCCGGCCCCGGGCGCCGCGGCGGCAGTGGCGGCGGCGGCGGCGGCGGCGACAGCAGCCACACAAACCCGGAGCTTGGTACGGCTGGCGGCGCCGCCACCCGCACGTCAACAGGCGGCACTGCTGACGGCGGCGGCGGATCCAACCCGAGCTCCAAATGGTGGCCATGGTGGTTGTTCCGCAGGCCCTTTCATAGCCAGCAACAGCAGCCGCCCGCGCCGCACGGGTCTGTATCGGTGCAGGGCGCGGAAGCGGCGGAGGCTCCACGCGGCGGGGCTCAGTCATCCACGCAGGGTTTGCGGTCCTCCTCAGAACGAGCAACGGAAGAGTTGCCATCTCCCGACTCGAACCAGCAGCCTCTTCCGCCCCTTGACCCTCACCCTCATCTTCCCCCCCAGATGATACCCGGGATGCGGTCCGAGCCCCCAGCCGGGCCAGCCGTACATTGCACCCACCGCACCGATATGGAACCGCAGACCGACAGACCTACATTGCAGCAGCAGCCGCAGCAAGACCAACGCCATCGCCATAACGCACTTGCAGATGTACATCAGCTGCTGCCGCAGCAGCACCAGCGGCCAGGCCCAGGCGCTGACATTCCAGAGCACCAGCCCTGGCAGCCGCATCCAATGGATCTGCAGCAGCCGCGTCTAGACCGCATGATGAGCCCTTCCGGGGGCGGCAAAGGCAAACAGCAGCGCACCGCCTCTACACCGGAGCCCATGGGACCATGGCCGCATCCCTCGCCCCCGATGCCGCATGAGATACAGCAACAGCAACAGCAGCAGCAGCAGCGACGTAACGCAGAGGCAGATGTAGATGAAGCAGTAGCTCTCCAAAATCAAGGCGCGATGTACCGTGGTGGTGGTGGTGGCGGCGGTGGCGGTGGCGGTGGCGGCGGTGGCGGTGGCGGTGGCGGCAGATCCGGCGGTGGCAGCAGCTACACCGACGCGGCGTCGTCCGTATGCGGTTCCGCCATGGAGGCTGGTCCCTCTCGTACGACGACAGCCGGTACTGCCGCCAGCTCACGGACTTTCAGCAGTGGCGCAGGTCTGCCGCCGTACTCGTACCACCCCTCCCTGCAGCCGCCTCCATCATACCGCTGCCCACCCCAATACGTGTGGGGCTCGCCCGTGAGTCATCTGGGTCGTGGTACGGCGGCGGCGTTGTCCCCACCGCCCTCTATGGCCAATACCCTTAGCCCATGGGTGGGTGGAGACCGGGTCTTGGGCCTGGATGACAAGCCCGTCGGGGGTGGTACGACAGCGGCATGTATAGGCGGTCTGAAAGCTGGAAGCCCTACGCCTGCAGCAGCCCACGTGCACACGCCCGCCCCGGTTTCTGGGGACCTAGGGAGCAATGCCGTTGGTTACGTCCACGGGTATGGGCGTGGTTACGGCAATTTTAGGTATGGCAGCGGAATGGACAGGATCGGGGGTGGCGCCCTTGACGCGGGAGATGGCGAGGCGGGTAAGGGGAGAGGCCCTGCCTTGGTGCCGTTGGGGTCTGCGCCAGGACAGGGAATAATAGCTAATAACCAGGCAGGGGAGCAGCAGCAAGGGTCGACTTGCCAGGAAGCGCCGGCGGTGTGAAAGGCAAAGCTGCGGCTGCTCTTGTCGCTGCTTGTTGCTCTGCTATTTCGCTGTAGTTTAGGGGGTTGTGGTCGGGGTGCTTGGAGTGATTTAGGGATACTTTCTCGGAGTGGTTTTGCCGCGCGGAGCGGGTAGATGTTGGGACGTTTTTGAATAATCTGCCCCACGGGTATGGTGTGCAGCCGGTCTTGTCGGAACGACTGATTTGCCAGCGATGATTGCCGTCTACCGGCGGCGCTTTTGCGACAAGCCTGCGGCTGTTAAGTGACGAATGGGACCCTAGTGCTTTCTCTTTGCAGTATGGCTCCCCTACCCGTATGCAGGAGAGTCTTGAGCTTCCGATGTTTGGTGGCGGTACGGGGGAATTTCTGGGCAAGTGTGGTTATAGTTGTCTATTGTTAGTTGGGTTTGAAGGATTTTATCGCTGAATGCTTTTGTCGTTGTTCAGGTGGTTCTATGATAGCGAGGGGACGATCGCTAAAAGGGTCAACGTTTGTCGTCGCCACACTGCCCGGCCGGACCCACACAATCTGGCGCGTGGAGGCTTCGTGAAGCAGAGTGCATTTTTGTCACTTTTACAGTCGAATAAGTTTGAGTTGTGGGACGAGAGAGTACTGACGCGCCGCGGTCGCAAGTTTTAGTCAACAACAGTACCTGCTGCACTTGGGCGTGCGATATTTTGAGGAGTTGATAAATGTAATAATTGAAATCTTTCTACATTTCATTCTTAAATTCACGAAGGAGAAAGCGCACAACCTGGCGTTGTTAACGTACAGCAGCCTTAGTGCGCGCGCGGATGGTTGAAGTTATATATTTTCGATGAGTATAGTGGCAGTGGGAACCATTTTGCTGCAAGTTTTAGCAATCTGAGAATAACAGCTGGGCCCGCACAGCTAAGCAGTAATCATTGTACGACCGGGCTGCCCGCACAGCCAGAATAACGCGTCCATCCAGGTGTTATAGCGCGTGCGGAATTCCTTAGAGGCTATGTCGTGTATCTTGATCACTTGATGGCTTCTACTGTTTGTCCACGCACGTAAGTCATATCTAGCCACTCCGTTTTGTTGTCGGCTCTCGGCGAGCATACTCTTAAGCCAGAAACTTAAGCACCACCTCAAGAGCAATGTGCCAATCTGAACCATCTGCGTCTTACGACATGAACTCGGACGATCCCGAGTGTTGCTGGTAAGGTCCATGGCGTTTTCCTGTGCTGTTGCTGTCCAGAGTAGACCCAACTCTTCATTCGCCTAAGCAATCATCATGCCCTCATTGATGTTGTCAATTGAAATCGGCATTGCGCATTTGGGACAAAAGTGTTTAACCCGTCTCAGTAGTGTCGCGCAACCGACGTGCAACCACCACCTCCCAACGTCACAATCTTATGCGCAAAAACGCCTCAAACCATACAGAGAAATTGTCCTGGAATTCCATACAATGAGAAACCGCGGTGTAAACGCGTCTGCAGGATTTGCCTCGGAGAGGGTGGAGTGTTATCGCGGCCATGCATGTGTCCCCGGTCCGTTCATCCAACGTGCTTAGCACGATGGCAATTACAACAAGCAGGACGCAAGGTACGAATTTTCGGAGCCGGCCAGCCTTCTGACATGGTCCATGACGCATGGCGCCTCGCAAGCGTCCTGCATAGAGGACAAGCAAGGGTGCATGTAGCGATGATATATCTTCGTAACTTTGTTTGATTCTGTTTAACTTTGCGATTCACGCGTTGTTTGTTCAGAGGTTGAGGTGGTTACTGTCAAAACGGGGCTTGCCTCTCCGTCTTCCTGACGTAACGCGGCTCCCCCCGGGCCCCCGGCCGCCCATCTTCTTGTACAGGAGGAGAGAAGTTGTCGCTTTTGCAATGCCAGCCTCCCTGACTGGAAGGCGCAACTGGCGCCAGCCCCGCCTGCGCCAGTGGAACCGGTCATGGTGGTTAGCCTGGGCGGCAAGGCGGTGAAGATGCGCGTCAAGCCAGGGCCCGAGGGCATGGCGCAGTTTCGCCAACAAGTCAGAGAACTCTTCAACATCCCAGCCGATGTCGAGTTCGAGTGCTCCTTCAAGTGCAAAGCGCCGTCCGGTGAGCCCGTACGTACGTACGTACGTACGTATGTTCGTAAAGGTTTGCTATTTTGACCGAGTTGGTTGTTGGTCCCCCCCTCGCAACAATGCACCCTAATGTGACTTCGATTTTTAATTAGTGAGTCAAGAAGCGTTATCCGCGGATTACGATTGCGAACCGCAGAATTGAAAGGACACGTTGTGTCGCGCGAAATACCGACGGCACAACTCGTGAATTGGTTGCTAGACCTGTCGTCAGCCGTTGGGACTCTCGGCCGTTGTGCCGAGAACTGTCGACCGTTTCAATTTTGCCGTCCAGCGCCCACCGCAATAAGGACAAATGCCGCCCCGGCACTGATCTCGCCGCCTTTTCCCCGTCACAACGTAGCCTTTCAATTGATGACCGCGCATCATCCCCCCCAGGTGACACCATTCAGTTAGATGGTCTTGCCTCTTATGAAGCCGCCACCCATTGTGCGTCGTTAATGGCAGCGCAGCGGGCTGCGGCCGCCAGCCGCCGCGCCGCCTCTGCACCACCTCATCACGTGCACCGCAGCGCGCCACAGCTGGAGGCGGTTGCAGCGCCGCCGGACCACCAGCAGCAGCTACTGATGGCCCAGCAGCAACAGCCGGTGCCGTACCTCCACCATCAGCACAGCTACCACGGCCATCACCACCACAACGCCGCCAGCTCGCCACACACGTTCGCGCCGCCGACCGTCCCCTCGCCCAACCAACATAACTGCCAGATCCCCGTCTAGCCTGGGGCCTTTTGTACAGACATTCATCTGGATTGCTACAGTTGTTGCCCCAAAATCTGGCTGTAGCAGCCTGGGGGCTACAAACACAAGAGGCATCTGTCTGCAAGCCTTCATATGTCGTGTCGTATCTTATCGTTGTCCCAGCAGGTGTTTAGAGACTGTTGCATGAACACAGTGTTATTAAGAGTGTTGTACGCTGGCGGCATGATTGGGCAACTCGACTCGGCCTACTGCCTACCAGCCTTTGCAGCTGAAACCCGGGGCCAGGGGGCTGGGGCGTGTAGTTCTGCTGCAATGCATGCGGGTGCACGCACATCCGCCGTACACCGAGATTTGGGAGTAGGAATAGGAACCGTGACGGTGGATGCCCTAACAGCCACGAATTTATGCCGTAAGGGGGGTGAGGTGCTGGAAAAGTGCACCAACCCAGAGGCGCATGCTTGATCCTGCGGTGGCGCGTGGTGGCTTTGGCCTGACGAGGTGTCCCCGGGGTTGCCCTGCAGCATATGCGGCGCGCAAGGGGACAAGCAGGCCCACGGGCTTATGACTGCTAATTATTTGATGTCGTCCATTTTTCCTCGCGCCCCTAGCAGGCCCAACCTATTGCATGCTGCAAAGACTGTTTCGCATTAACAACCCGGCCGGGCTCTCGCAATTATGTCGTACAGTTACCCGTGTATGTATGAATGTATGTATGCACCAGCTCGGCAAACATGGCATGTCGAGTATGTAGTTTTTTTTACTGTTGCGCGCCGGCCGGCGGGCCTTGGACGCGCGGCCCACGCGCGCGAGAGCTGAGGCCGCCCGTCCGCACTCGCACACACAGAGGCAAAACATGGACACGTATGGCTTTTTGTGTACATGCCGCGATGCGCCGTCGTGACGTCAAGTCATTTACCTTTGTCTCTGTTGCTTCACTCGTTGATTCAAGAAGTCAGCACGCGTGGTCTAGAGCCTTTACTTGTGATTTTTCTTTTCGGACCGGACCGGCGCATATGGTGGTCGTAATGACTCGCCACGCATACGTAGCCGTGTGTAGGACTGTTTTCGTCCATGGACGAAAGGGACGGGTCCATCCGAGGTCGCAACACGGCTCTCATCTAATCCTGAATGCCTCTCGCGGTGGTACTTGCTCCCGCGGGACGGGGAAAGGGAATACAATCTTCATCACCAATCCAACCTCGTCCCTTCAGGGAGTTAGGGCTGGTCTGTGCCCGGATTGCTCGTGGCCTCTCCCGAATTTTGCACCGCGATGGTTGCCAATCCTGATATTTTTACAAGAATGTTTCATAAGTCTGTGACGTGTTGCTGCACATGCTGGATCGACGTTGTACGCGTTTGCGTGAGGGCCATGGCCATCAACGCGTCGCAACTCTTTAAGGTCGAGGGCGCCTCGCTGAATGTGCGTGTGTAGTTTCGCTATGCACGCCCCTATTGGCCAGCTCGGCTTCTGGATTGGTATGAAGGAAACGCTGACCCGTTACGTCCCTGGTGGAACAATTATGACGTGGGATGTTGTTGAACGTTTACGTGACAATCCTTGTGGTGCACATTAACTGCATCCGAAGGGCAACTTGGCAGCTGCAAGCCTCTACTAGGGGCTGGGGAGGGCCATGCGCGCCCGTAAAATAATTGCGGAGTAAAACGCTACATGTGTACTACTCGCCGACGTCTTAAGACGTCCTTGCGTCCATATTTGGCCTACGGTCTCAGAATTTAATCTTCTTACCATAAAAATTGGCATGTACATGGAACCCAGATTCAAAAAAGTTGCTTTATTGCACGATGCATTTTCATATAGTACAGACCTGTGCAAAAAAAGCCGAGCTGCCTTGATGCATCATACGCAACTCACGCAAGCGACGGCCGGTCGCATTGCGGCAGCAGTCGCAGCTCACGCGAGAAATACTGAATACATGAAGACAGGTACCAAAGCAACAAAATTTGTAGGTGCGACAAAGACATCCCTCATCCTTCCCAACATCAGCACAACGAATAACGATGCGACATTCAACAAAACCTGGAACGTACAGGACGCAAGGGCCATGGACACTAGAAGGTGGTCTCATGGCCTTGTCGGCAAAATTCAAAAGGGGCGTTTAAGCCCGGGGTTACAAACCTGGACTGTTTGTCCCCACATGCAAATTTCAAGCGCCGTATTAAAAAACTCCACAGTAGAAAAGGAACGGCGTGAAAAACGGGACGCAGAGAAGCAACGTCGAAAGCATATTATTTAAAACCAGTCCGCTTCTGGTCTTTTGTCGTCCAAGCATTCACGCGCCATGCACGATTGCATAACTAGGAAACGCGAGCTGCAGCTCGCACATGACATGAAAATCTGATGATTTTCCCTCAACATTGCAGAGCCTTACTCGTCATCGTCCACCTCTGTGGGGCTGCCCAGCGCCGGGCTGCGCTCGTGTTCAATATGCTTCTTGGCCTCGTCGCGGTGGGGGAAGCATATCTTGCAGCGCTGGACCCCGTGCTCGCACATAGCGCCGGTAGCAGCCTTCTCCGCGTGCTTGAGCAGCTGCGGAGGCGTTGGGCAAAAAAACGCAGAAAGGTTTCACAGCCAACCCTACCTTGTAATGCAGAAAGTGCGTTACCAAAATGGGACTTGTTCAACACAAACGCCGCTGGTCGGTATACTCAAGGCTGGATAGGGTACTTCCGCGCGTGACTGGGCTTCGGAACAAATCAGTGCCATGCTGCTCCTTTTCACCTCATATGGCCACATATACTAACCTCGCGCTGCTCCTTTATGGCCCTCTTGCTGTGCTTGCCCTGGGGGTCAAGCTCGAGCTTGTACTCTCGCTCGGCCTTGTACTGCCTAGCCTGCTCGTGCAGCAACTGCAACAACGAAGGCGGGACCACGGAAAATAAGCTTGAGTTGTTGAGCTGAAAGGCTTTGGTGATCAAGACTGGCCCCGGACATCTCCGAAACCAGGGTGACAGCTTAGGGGAGCGAAAAAACACGGAACCAAAAACGTTATGGAACAGGTGAAACCCAGGACTGCATATCAATTTAAACTTTTGCGATCATCCCTGAGTAGCTCAGGGATTCCGGGTCCAGTCTCGAACGCTGTCGCCACTAAAACGAACCCACCTGCTCCTTAGCTTGCTTCTGCTGGTGCTGCTGAGACTTGATTGCCTCATGCATAGCAGCCTCTTGCTTCTTTGTCTCGGCGAGTTTGTCTACGGCAAGAGAAGTTAGCGGTACGCTTTGAAGGCACACCCGTCCTATGTCGACACCGGCCAACGACCAAAGCTAGAGCGCGAAGCAGGGCCCCTCAAAACATGACTTTTAGCATTTACGGCACCATTTCTTACCCTTATGAGGCATCTTATGATGGTCGTGGTTGTTGTTATGAAGGAGGTCCAGCATTCTCTCTGCTGTGATGAACTGGGCTTTAAACCTTTACGTGGATTATTGCACAATTTGGCTTTGCCGTGTACGTGTTAAAATTTTACAAGCAGATGGCCTTGCCAATTTATGGCGATCCGGAACAGCGGCCAACTGTCAGTTCTGGAGCGTGTGCTGACGTCAACCTGGGGTCGTTGTGTCGGAACGGCAATTAGGAAGCCAAGGCACGGTAAGGAAATCTACAGCCACCTACTGTTTGGAGATTTCTTCTCCAAGACTATCTCTGCTGTCCACGTTCGTGTTGTTCAACATGAAAAGTTTCGCAGCTGTGAATCTCCCTAAAGGGTTAATCACAAGAAATTTGATGCATAAGGGTGCGCGTAATTCAACGCGAGGCCGTAAAAATTTTCGGGTTGATGCTTTTAAAGAGCAAGACGTCATTAAGGTACGCCACACTATCGGAGCACAATCGGGGCACAATTTTCGCAGACAAACCACGTTTCATCAGTGCCCATCTCGATGTTTATTCGCTCTGGGCCGGCGTACTAGTCAAACTGAGGCGATTGGAAATGGACTTACTCTGCCGGCTGCCATCTGCGCTGCCCAAACCCATACCCCATGCATCAAACTTACGTGCATGCTTATTACCTGCGTGATCATATTTCCCTCCCGGACATTACGTGCATGATTATACTACCCTCCCGGCAGCTGACGCTCACACGCCATGGTTACCTTCACCTGTCCTCCAAGATACCTTAAGCTCACGCCTGGTCCATTCGCTGTTCGTACGTTATACCTTCGCCAGGATTGGCGCGTAAAGCAAATGGTCGACACCTGCCACGTCTATTACTCTAACTTATGGAGTAGGGGCGACATGGCAACTGCCGATAAGTTCCTCGACCCGCAGTTCGTTTACCGGGACTTGTGCAGCGTATCGGGTTGGGCCCAACAGTCGCCTTCCTCGACACTGCCCCTAACCGGCATGGTGGTTGGACCCCGGGCATTCAAATCGATGATTGAGGACGTCCGCTCGCAATACCCAGACTTTTACGTGGAGGTGCGCAGTCGTGACGAAGAACACACTTCACAATGATACTGGCGCTCGTGCAACTAGTCCTACAACTGCATCTACTCGCTTAAACATTTCGACCCAGTGATTTCTGGGCATCCACGTTGGCTTCCTCAGCTTTGATGAGGACCCGAACTCCGACTCCCGTTCTCGCACCCCCAACCTCTTTCCCTCCCCAGGTCGAGGAGCTGGCGGTGAGCGACAAGCACCGCATCTTTGTCAACTGGGTCAGCCACGGCACGCAGCTAGAGGCCCCACCGGCAGCACCGGCGGACGTCTCCACCGGCCCCGCTGCCTGGAAGCATGGACGGTCCCTGTCGCCAACCTCAGCTCATGCCTCCGTCTCCGCGGCAGCCCCTCCCTCCTACCACAACAACCTGGTGCGCGGTGTGGACGTCATCACGTTCAACCACGACCGAAGCCGCATGCTAGAGGTAAGCGCAGGAACGACGGACGATTTAAAAGCCGCCGCGACGTGCGACGTACTTTCGAGCACTGCGTCGGCTCTTGGTTGCGTGCTCAGGCAGCATTGATCTCTTCTGCCCGCTTGCATTCACACAATTGCAGTAATCCTTACACACGCTTCCACTGCTGCTGCCGCAGCTACCGCACGCGGCTGTGTTCCAGTGCTGCAGTCGCTGCTGTTGCAGCCTCCCTGGCGCAACCCGCACTTGCGCAATTTCGCTCCTCAAGTCGTCTAGACACCAGCGCAATTCCACTTCCCCGTAGGTGAATGTGTACCGGCAGCTGAGCTCGGATGAGCGGCGGGACGTGGAACGGCGACTGGCGCCCAACCCCCTCGAGATGCGCCTGGCAAGATTGCACTGGGAGCGCCCGCAGCAACAGCAGCCCCGTCGTTGAGGGTGGTGTAGGCCGCAATTTTGATACACTTGCGTTGTTCCGTTTTCTGTTGCGTTTGTTGTCTGGTCTCTGGCTTGCAGGTGCAGGTTTTACGTCCGCGCATGCTTGTTTTGTAAGGGTGTCGATGGGGGTAAGGCGGAGCAGAGGGGCGACACCAGCGCTCGGGGTCAGCATGGTCTATAGGGGCGCTGCATGCCGGCATGGAGCTCGGGAGGCTGCCCCTGGACGTATTGAAAAACCGCTATGGCCGCCGACGGCATTGACGGCGTCGTGGGTTGGAAAGCGCGTTCGCGAAAGGATTCTTAGCACGCGGCGTCGAAAGTCGTCTTCGTATTTGAGTTGTGGTGGTGAACATGGTGATGCAGAAGCACGATATTTGTATGAAAGGTCTCCGAGGTGCATACATACAGAATCTTCTTGTTTTTTTATGGACATGATGTGCGGCGGTCGGGCATGGGAAGAATGCGCAGCAGCAGGAGGGTAGATACGTTACTGGACAGGCGCACGTGAGGTAGCAGAGCAGTCGCGGCTGTTTCAAGAGAGCTGGACGGTAACTGCTGCTTTGGGCGTTTTTCTGGTTGATGGTTATCTTGTACCGCAGAAGGCCTTTTGATGAAATAATAGCCCAAATCGTGACAACTATATATATTCGATAATGGAGGTGGGATCTGATGGGAGCCGTACTCGGAGGAACAAGAAGTCGACCGCGTGCGGTCGGGGGAGGTCTGGTGGCACGGAGGAGACTCTCGGATTTGCTGCCTCCTATGCAAGTGGGTGGTACCCAAACACGTGGTTGTGGTGATGCCCCGCCCCTCCCCTCCCCTAACTTATGTGTAAAGTACCCTGGCACGCCTGTGCAACCTTTCGAAAGTTCTACATCATGTTCCTTTGTTCGCGTGCGGCCTCCCCGCGGTACTCGGGTACCGTGAGGCGGCGAGCGATTCCTCCTAATACAGATGAATATAAAACAGAAATTACGGACACACAACATATGCCAAAGTCTTCGTTGCTAGAACAGGAAACATCCTCAGAAGGGAACACGTAGAGGAAAGGAACGCGGCGCACCCAAAGAGCGCCGCTCAATATCAAAACAAGTACATAGACACACAACTGCCAGAAATGTGCCCGCGGCCTACCTACATCGCGGGGACGCACACGCACACGCTCAACAAGGCATCTGCTTACTTCGTTCAGTGTCAAAATATATTCACACACATCCACACGCACGGCCACACGCATTGCTCGTCACAAAAAACGCCACTCCTCTGCCGGACCTAGCCCTCACACCCTCCCGAGTCCTCTGCACACCTTTCCCAGGTGCGCTGTTTGTAACCCCGTTCTACCTTTCCTTACAGCGTCCCAATTCACATCGCGGCCCCAGCAGCAGCTGACACAGTGCAACATAACCCCCTTCCAATACTATTAACTACCGCCCGCCCTGCCCCCACTCCCACAACAGCAAAGCTACAGTTACAGTTACAGCCCCTCACGCCGGAGCCTCGCGCCGGAACCTTGTCTATACCTCCTACAATAGGTTCAAGGTATCCCTAATGACCAGCCCCACACCCAGCGCCGTCAGCAACAAAAACCCCGACGCCATGACCCCCTGCTCCACCACTGCCGGCAGCTTGCGACCGCCCCGGGCCGCCTCCAGCCCCAGCAGCAGCAAGTAGCCTCCATCCAGAGCGGGTAGCGGCAGAATGTTGACCGCGGCCAGGTTGATGTTGACGATGGCGGCGAACTGGAACAGCCCTGCCGAGTCCATCCGCACCACCTCGGAGCCGGCGGCAACGATGGCCACGGGACCGGATAGCTGGCCGCTCATGGCGGCGAAGTTGGTGACGATTTGCTTGAGGCCGTTGAACACAGTGCCGGACAGCCTGCAGGATAGGAAGGAAGGAAGGAAAGAAAGGAAGGCATTTACATAGGAAAAGAGAGGGGGCATATGCCGGCCCTGCTAGCCCCTCAGCCCTTTAACCTCATGGCACCTGCTCCCGCATTCCTCCTTTCCCCTCGTGTGGCTCCTCTCACCTGTTGAATTCGCTTTGCGTCATGGCCAGCACTTCCGTCGTGCTGCGGGGGTACGTGTGCAGGATGTACGTGTTGGACGTCAGCTGTACGCCGATGCGCCCCTGACCATCCGCGCCGGGATCCGGCGTACACCTCAACGATAACACCTCCCCATTGTCACGGCTGCCGCTGCTGGTGCTGGTGCTGCTGCTAGTGCTGACTTCCGCGCCTGGCGACGCGACGGCGCCGCCACCGCGCAGTACTGCTAACTCGAGCTCCTTGCCTGGCGACCCGCGGATCGCGGCCACGGAGTCAGACACCTGGGAGGCTCCCGCGGGAATGGTGACGTCACCAATGCGAAGGATGACATCACCGGTACGGAGACCCGCGCGCGCGGCGGCAGAGGCAGCGGCGGCTGGCGTGTCGGGTACCAACACCCGAACTCCCGGTAGGAAAGCAGTCTCCGCCTTGCCCACTGTGGATATCTGCATGTATGTGCGTGTGTGTATTGGAGAGGGGGTTAATTGGGGGAAGCACGGGGAGGCCAGGGGGAAGGAGGAAGTTCAAGGGGATGGCTGGAGAGTTACGGCCATTGTCAGGCCAACCGTAATAACTTAGGGACGCGCAGCAGGCGGGGAGTTTGGCCCAAGGTGCTCCTTTCCTGACCCACGACCCCCCGAACGAGGTGGGAACCTTAGGAGGTGGGAACGCAGACCTCCCTCACCTCCTCGCTCCCTCCCAGGGCCGCTCCCATCCCCCCCCCACTTCCGCCCGTTCGTTCCTCTCCATGCTAGCTTTCCATCCCCTCATCAACTCTGCCTCCGCCACCGCCACCTCCGGAGAGTCCTACAACCCCTCTAACGGCGCAACGCCTCAAAACCGCCCATCCGCTGTGGCAAACCCAATCAAACTTCAATCCCTCACACATGTATGCTCGCCCCTGCGCAGCCCTCTCCTTAGACCCCGTAACCCACCCTGAGACTGCACGGGCCCGGAAAATCCGCACGCACTCACCCGCACCCCCCTCCACTGTCATCCAAGTCCACCTCGTTTCCCCTCCCTTCCCTCCCGCACCTGCGCCAGCAGTATTAGGTACGCGAAGAGGATGTTGGCAATCACTCCTGCGCTGATCACGAGTGCACGCTGCGGAATGGGCCTGTTCTTCAGCAGGTCTGGATCGTCAGGACGAATTTCAGGAGAAGACGCCGCTGCAGCAGGATCTGTAGCTACAGCAGGAGCTGTAGCTGCGACAGCTGTGGATGTTGCGGCTGTGGCGGTGGTGGTGGTGGTGCTCCCAGCGGCTGCGGCCTCCTGCTGCTGCTGGTTGTTTCGTTGGGAATTCGTCGTGTTGGCGGCAGCGGCGGCGGCCGTAGCGGCTGCGCTCCCTTTCGCCGTGGTGGAGGGGCTGGCGGTGGTGGAGGAGCTGGCAGTGGCGGTCATTTCATCGTCCGGGAAGGCCACGTAACCGCCCAGGGGTACCGCATTCAGGCAGTACTCCACACCGCCGGACTAAAGAATAGATGAAGTGAGGAAAAGAGGAAGGGGAGAAGGAAAAAGATGAGAAACAAGAGGAATGGAAACATATGCATCAGGGAGTTGAGGGATGTGGATGTACGGAACGCGCGGGGTGTGCATGCAGCCGACTGATGTGTCAACTGTAAAGCAACATTTGAGATGAAGGGGTATTAGACCGGCGGGTGGTTACTTCTACTACGACCACCACCACCATCACCACCTAACGCGCACATCCCCCTACCTGGATCTTGACCAGAGTGGGTCCGAATCCGACGGCGAAGCGAGTGACCCGAATGCCCTGCAGCCGGGCCGCCAGGAAGTGGCCCGCCTCGTGCACCGCCACGATCAAGGCCAACACACCCACTGCCTGAAGCACGGACCCGGGCTTAGAACTGTCGAAACCCATCGCACCTGCCGCCGAAAAGGAAGGTGCGAAGGTGCAGGTGTGGGACACGGAAGACTTGGACAGTGCGCGCGAGGCGCTGGGTTCGCTTTCGGGGGCTTACCTCCTAAGAGGCCACTCAGGAGGACAGTTGACTTGGGTTGCAGCAGCCTCCCAAGATCCATCCCCGATGGCCATCGCCAAGGGTCATGCGAGCTCGTTGCTGATGGTGTCGCTTGGGATACGGAGGTGCTCGTCTCAAGGCCGATGCTGACCTGATGCGGCAGGCGCTCCACGGTACAGACATCGTCTCGCAGAGGTGGAGCTGAAGGAAGAACGATTATTTCAGGTTGACGAGCGCTGCATGTATGTGTTTGTCGGCAAGTCCTGTGAGGAGCTGTGCAACGTAGTAGTTTGGGGGCCTTCAAGGGCATATGCACCACTTTGTGGCGCGAAAGCAAAGTTATGGGCTGCATCATTTCCTTGCAATCAAGAGCGTGCCAAAGCGTAGACAGTGCTACGTAGATCTGTCTAATAACTTATTTGCGCGTAAAAGACGTTACATACACAAGTGGCTGAGTTTTAAGCTAACGGCATGAACACATTGCCTATCAATAATGCAAGGACCCCACATAAAACGAGGCTCTCGTCAAACACAAAAGAGCGACGTTATGTACGGCATGTCTTTGTCCTCACGTCTGCTTCTCTGGAGACATGAGCACAACGGCTACTTAATGTGAGAATACATATTTTTATGTATGCATCTTTCATTGAAGTCTTATTTTGTTTTATAAACGCGTCCGTCGACAATCGACTGGTAGTTAAATCGCGTCCGAGCTCCGACGTCTGGCTATCCAAACGACCTAAATATGAGTTTGCTACAGCAACATCGGCTTGGTCAACCAGCCACTTTTCCCCGACGGGGACGGCAGTCTGTGGCGCCCTCGGCGCTATTCAGGAAAAAGTCGTCACCGGCAGTCGTTGTGGAGGAGAAGCCCGTTAACGCGAAAGGCACAAAGACCTCTCCCCCTCAGGACAAAGCTAAGCCCAAGTAAGCATTCTAGTTTGAGCAAGCGATTACATCGGTTGCCCGGCAGCCACACAATATCCTGGTCATGTGGCTTGTTGCACAAGCGCCACATGCTCTCGGGTTAATGGGACGGCCTCATGCGCGTTATATGTTCCGACATGCTGGAAATTTTTTACTTGTTGTCCCCCATGTGCATTTTCATATTATTCGAGCTCGGTCTTTGGACATGTGTGGGACATGCCCCTTCTCACCCAAGCGAACCCCGCACCCAACCAGTTGCAATAATTGACATGCGTCAACTTATTATTAAGAAAAATTCATCCTCCTTTACTTGAATAGGCAAGGTGTATTCTCTCAGGCCCTGAATGCCCTGGACTTCACGTCCACACGGAGTCAGCGTGATGCCGACCTGCTGTACGAGGCCAAGTACGGCCAGCGCGGCGAAGATGGCAAGCTGACCCCAGAGCAATACAATGCGCTACGCCGCAAGGTCATCGGCACCGCACGTGATTACTGGAAGGACTGGGTTGAGGAAGAGCAGGTGCGGCACATGAGGCACGAGTATGCTGCGATTGAAATGCAGCCGCAGACTCCACCGCCTGCATGCATCAGTTTCGCGATCTGTTCGTCTGCCATTTCTGTTTGTGTGCCTTCTCTGCTTGTGTGCCTTTTCTGTTCGTGTGGCTTTTTTCGCATGACAAGCCTTTGGCCCCACTTCGGTCCCACTTCGACTACCTGCTTGTCGTATTTTTATCGTCTGTAGGTCAAGACTGTCAAGACGTACTACAAGCCGGACGACGCGGGTGGTAACGTGCCGTACCTGGGCTTTTTAGTCGGCATTGTGGTGGCCATGCTGGTAACTACGGTGCTGGTGGTTGCGCAGACAAGCACCTGAGGCGGCGTCATGACATCCATCCAGCTGAGGGCGAGGAGCCCACTTACAGGACTTTTTGAACGCAACAACCCACACGACCAAACAGACGGAAGGCGTTGAAAAAAGCTTCATGGCGGGCGGCCCGGCGAGGCCGAGGGCAAGGTGGTGGAGGGCGGCGAGGGTTGAAGAGCGCTCTATTCGTCCGTCTTTGTTGCGAGGTTTGCAGTCGAGTGTAGGGTCGTGCTGAGTGTGTATATAGTTGTCATGTGTGTGTTTCAGGTGCGTGCTGTTGTTGCTCGCATGTCGCAGCGATGTGCTTTACGATTGAAGACATATTGATGTCCTGCCTGTTGTGCGGGCCCGTGTGCGACGTTGTCCGTCTGTCCAACAGATGTTCTCTCTCCATTACAGTAGCGTCTTACTGGTAGGACATGGACTTACTCCCCAGTCATTTTTCGTCGGTTTTGGAGTTGGTTGCGCAGCGATCAGTCATTTTCCTCCTGCACAGCGTAGCCTGTTCGGTTAGATTGGTTCCGTCGCGCGCTGCTGTGGTGTGACGAAGAGCCCTCGAAGCTATTTACTGGGTCGCTCGGGAGACATCTCGGGCATGGTAGCACAGATGTTACGTGTTTATTTTGTTGGGACGTGTGGAGAGTGAAGAGTGCACATGATTCTCTCCGTTTTGTGATCCAAGGTGAGGGGAAAAACTGATAAGGAGGGACGAGCACTGCAGCTGCACTGCAGAACAGAGAGGTTTGTCCTGGAAAGGGGCTGTGTGCTCTGTGTATCATACTAAGCGATGTTTTTGGTGGTGCGTGCTCAGAAAGAGAGGTACAAGAGGACGTCTTTGACCGTGGCCGGGCCTACGTGCGGGGCCTACGGGGTCGCCAAGAGAGAGGGCCTGCAGTCCCTCCCTGAGATCTGTTCATGTTACGCACCAAAGAGACAATTAAATAGAGTCGGAGCGCTAAGGAACGAATTTGACAATCCATCTGCATTACATGACTTTGGGTTTTGGAGTGTGTGCAGCCATCCCGCAAGGCAAATTTGTGTAACAATCGTACATCATGTACAGCCGAATTGAAGTCACATCCTATCACCTAATTCCATGCAGTGCATCAGCGACGACGTAACAGTCTTCAAGTGAACCACAAGGCGGAACGGCGATGCCGAGTCTGACTACGTCTCTACCCCTCAATATGCGTTGCACCTCTGCTCTCCCGTATCGTCTAAACAGCTTGAGACTTTTATTACGATGACCCAAAACCGCGGTTGCACGCCAGAATGCACGTAAAGAAAGCGTATATACGTACTCTCATAATTATTAGCGTCGATGGCTACCAGTAAAGTATAGCAACTTGAAGCATGGCCCTGGAGACAACGCAGCCAGGTTGCCCGTATAATACACTAGCCATCCAGAAACAGCCGCGTACATTCTGCCGTGCCAACATAACGAAACCATGAAGACGCTAAACAGACCCACAACATTCCCTAACCACGCCCATGATGGTCGGCTGGGTGTCAAATTTATGAAGTTACCATCCCTCTCGCCCTGGGGTCAATTCTTTCCTGTGCCAGACGTCGCCATCCGCCGAAAAGTGTGGACGGTTCACCCTTCTCATACACGACAGACGACCTTCGACTCTTCCCCAAGCGCGCTGCATACGCATCCGCCCTTGCACCTGTGGACGGTTCCATGCTTGCCTCCTAAATTCTGCGTTCCGTGCGGCAAGCCAAAGGCAACTATCCCATCCCGCCATAGCGCGCATTGCTTTCGTCCCACTCATCATCCGCTACTCATGCAATCGACTCCACTCCACAGCCCTCGCCTCCGTCGGAAGCGCCTAACGGCCACATGTTAAAAAATGACACGACACGCGCCCTACCTCCGGCATGCACACTACCCTCCCTGCGAAACTATCTATCATATGCCAGCATATCCCCCAAGGATTTTGCCGCACACCACTCTTGTCAGCCGCACAGCTTGGAAGCCAGACACTCACTACTCAGTCAATATGCCATAATTTGTTGTGGTATTGCCGTACGGTATGTGCAAGTAGGCCCAAGCAACGCTATCTATCCGCTATCGGTACCCCCAAGGCATACAAGACCTTCAGTACAAACACTTGTAACCTGAGACTGGAGAATGCTCCACGAGCCAAGGTTGCAGAGAGGCAGGCTGCCCAGAGCCAGACGACAGATCCCAAGCATAACGCTCGTGATCACCGAAGGCTAGACGTACCCGAGTAGCCACGGGCATGCCACGCCCCAACTAGCCGGGCCCTAGGTCAGCCGGGCTGAAAGTCAATCCGCCGCACGCCTGTCCCCGTGCAGAGCAGCAGTAATAAATCCGCAAGGCAATATGGGCGTGCCACCCTCAACTAGCCACTTCGTTCATCGTGTGTGCTGCGGAGTGCAGACCAGCCCGAGGCGCTCTACATGATCGCCTGGGTTGGTCCATTGCTGCACCTTGCCCGGTGGGAAGGGAGCATTCCTCGTAATAATCTGGGCTGCTCGCCTAAACCTTGCCTGCAAGCTACATGGTGCGCAACCTTTTAGGAAAAAACGTACCATGTCCTGAAGTAAGGAATGCCCGCTCTAGCTTGTCTCTTAACAACGTGTCCTGAAGAAAGCTCATGCTCTTCCTATGCTGGTCTTGCCTTGGCGGACCCAGAGAGCAAGACCAGCTGAATATATCCCTTTTCATCCGAAGACACTGCGAACGCTGCGGCCACTGTACGCCATATGATGCTGCGGCAACTCACACACCGGCTGTGCAGACGCAAGAAAATCCTGCCGCCACCGAAGCAAGGCTGCCACCTGCAAGCTACTTGCTTACCGCCAAAACGAAGGCGTAATCAATGCCACAATACACACGAACCTGTCAGAGTCAGAAAGCGTCGCTACTAAATTGGGATACCGCGGGCGCAGCCGCGGCCCGCTGAGGGCAGTGGCCAGCAGGCACGCTTTTCCCTGTGGACTAACGGTCACGAAATGACGACCACAATCCGTATATACTACTGCCCTGCCGCAGCCGTGTCAGGCGGGGCGGTCGGGATGAATACCGTGTCGGATGCGGGCATCTTAATGCCTCCTGTGCCGTAGAGCACCTCCAGGCGCGTGACCACATCCGCGGCGGTAGTTATTACCTCAGGCACATGAGCGCGGGCCGATTCTTCCGTTTCACCGATGCTGCGCATGAAGGTTTCACGCGTGGGCATCGTGACCAGACCAGCCCAGACCGCCGTGCGCACCATGTAGGTGTGAATTGGGCTCAGCGAGCCCTGGTACGCGTTCCACAATGCGTCCTTCAGCTGCATCCCCGGATTCTCCATCAGGTTTGAGAGCATTAGTCGCACGAAGGTGATGACCAGCATGAGCCGATGAAGGTTACGTGCGCAACTGCCCTTGAGGGTCGCCCGGTTGGCCGAAATGTCAGCCTCGACCACCTCGCGCAATGTTGTGAGCTGGCCAGAGACGCGCTTGATAGAGTCTACCTTGCCTCCCATTTCCAGCTTCGCAAAGTACATTATGGCACCCAAATGGTCGAACGCGCCCAGGATATGCTCACACAGAGATGCGAAGTCCGCTGAGGCTATGGCATCACCTTGTCCATGGACAATCCTCAAAGACGCCGCGAGGCCCTCCAAGTAGCGGCTGTGACTTGCCATGAATCGATTTAATCCTAGTTACTCCAGGCCGCTTAATAACAAATAGGAGCACAATTAAAAATAAGGCAAGCGATGCTGTGTTATAAGTCCAAGCAGCAAGCTGGAAATGCTGCGTTGTAACAATGGAACTATTGACCGGCTCCTCGTCTTCATTCCATCATCCGGCCTACATGATGTACCTCGCAAATAGTTATCCGTGTACGCACTATATAAAGGACTTCGGCAGTATCGCAATCTAAATAGTATAGGGGTGTGCGGCGAAACCCGCAAAAAACCATGGACGCAGAAGGTGACCTATGTACACGCTGTGGCGCTCATGCAGTTTCCTATGACTACGGAGCCTCGTGTTGCGTATGCCAAAACTGTGGGTTCGTTTCGCAGCAGCATGAGCTGGTAGCATATCAGGAAATTGCCGACACGCAACAAGGCAACCCAATAGGAGGCCACTTCGCAGTCACAGCTGCATATGGGGCCGAGGGTAAGGCGCTTTGCATCTCCTCAGTCGGGGCCAGGCAAAGTTCGGGTGGACTGGATCCGAGGTGTATGTGCAAACATGCATGCCATGTTGGGGTGCCGCATAGCTCTTTATATCTCACGCTGCTTGGAGCTCATGCGTCAGTCCGGGTCGAGCACGCACGGGTACACCAACGCCCTCTATACGAAGCCAGGACAGCATGCAACTGCACACTAGTACATGGCCCGCATCCCATAACAGAAAGCTTCTCCTTTATACATACATTACAGAACCTTCCCCTTGCGTCATCCTTTGCCTGGCTGGTATTACCCGCAGCACAGGGGGCCAGACCGGGGGCACAGGGGGTGTAGCGGCGGCACCGCCCTACCCAGTGGGCAACGACGGTGCCAGCGCCCGTGCCCGGCGGCAACGACAGGAGTTGTCCAACCTCGAAGGGTTGGCGACGGCGCTGCGGCTGCCCGGGCCTATAACCCAGGTGGCGGCGGGTTTCCTAGCTCGGGTACGTGGCATGCCAAAAGGATGCATCCTCAGAGAAGACTGGATGTTAATGTCCCCCCATGCTAAGTTAGGCTGCCATCATCCCGTAAGTAAACGACAGCCTTGATCGTGCGTGTGTTGTGTGCGTTTGCTTACTGTTCTTACCATGCATGGCTGAGCTGCCCATGGAAGCACCACACGGTTCCCTTACTCGCAACAGCCCGCCTGACGTCTTGCCCCACACTGCAGATCCATCAGGCAGCCTCCGGAACAGCGGCGGCGCGGCGCTACGGCTATGGTGGCGACAACGCGGGTGCGGTGCCGGGTTGCAGCGGCAACGGCAACCGCGGCGACGAGGACAAGAGAGCCGATGGCGCATGGGACATCAGCCCCAATGCCGAGACTGGGGTTACGGAGGCGAAGGAGGCGCCGCCCAGTTCCTCTGTTTCCACCGCCGCCCGGCCCGCGCTCCCCGCCACAGGCGGGCAGGAGTCGTGTGCCCGTCTAGGTGCGTTGCTGTACCTGGCATCCCGCAGCGAGCGGGGCACCTTGACCTTGGCTGAGGTGGCCATGGCGACCTGCACCGACATCTTCCGGGTCGGCGAGATGGCCAGGTGGGGGAGCAGGAGAGCAGCGGGCTCGCAGACTCTGGAAAGGGGTAATGCAGCCGACGGAGGCAGAAGCGGTATTCTGATCCTTACCCGCTATACGCCCCGATCCTACCCGGGTCAGCAGCTCGACATGGAATAGGAAGCTTCCATCCTAGCTTTGACGCATTTGTGCCTTGTGCAGCTGCTACTGATTTAAAGGGTTCGCATTTTTAATTTGGGCCCGAGCATGGCCTCGTCCCACATCCAAGCTCTCCAAGATGCCGCAAACCGACCTCACCGATAAAAGCTGTCCTTCCCTCCCTAGGCAGCAAGCGGCGTTTCTGCAACTCTCTCTGCCCGCCGTGGACGTGGAGCGGTTCGTTATGAGAATGGCCAGGGAGCTCGTCGCCTCGGGGCAGCTACAGCAACAAGAGTCTACAACAGAAGCCGCACCGGTGGCGGCTGAGGGCGGAGCGGCCGGCGGCGGCGGCGGTGATGATCTCCTGGACGGAGGCGCTGAGGCAGCCGCGGCGCCTGTATCCGAAACCGCGCTGTGGTCGCACCCGTTGGTCCGCAAGACATCCCAACTGACGGAGCTTGTGATGCGGAAAGGCTGGCACGAGGGCAGGTCGCCGAGGACGGTGGCGGGTGAGCGTGTGTGTGTATGGGGGGGGAAATTGTGTTTAAAAGAGACCGCGCCTCTGGACGGCCTTGCGTGCGCATGCTGGGAAGGGCTGAAACGCTTCACCGATTTTTCACTCTTAATGTTTGCGGTGTTTGGACGTAGTGTGGAAGTATGAAGCAAGTCAGGGGCCCGCGCAGGCTGTGCCCTGAGGAAATTCCTTTGGCAACCCGCGGCGTGCGCGGTGGTGATGGGGAAAGATGGACACGAAACCGGAAAGGTGGCGCTAGGGTTTTTTGCCGGAAGGATTAAGACCAGCAGGAGGAGGACGAGGCGACAATAAAAACACACGTACGAAAGGTTCATTTAGTTTTGTGTCGGGCAAGCGACCTGACCTGACAAGGCATCGGCTCGCCCTAGGGCACATCCGCGTCCGCTTGCAACTTTCCTGCGTATGGCCTTTCGTGTGTATGCCATACAGTATATACTCTTCGAGGGGATTTATAAAAACCGTCCACCAAAAGAACTCCCATATTTATCCGCTCCCCTGCGACTCCTATCATCATCATCATCATCATCATCATCATCATCATCCCAGGCGCTCTGCTGAGCATCTGTCTGGATTCGCTCAGGCCCCAGCGGGCAGCTGCAGCTGCAGCAGCAGCAGCAGCGGCAGCAGCTGGCGGCGGTGGCAGCGGCACTGCCCCGGTGCACCCCCGGTCCCTGAGCACCGCCCAGCTGTCGCGGAGCACCATGTGCGCGGCCAGCCAGTTATGGGACCTGAAGCAGGAGGTGAGGCGCAGTGGGGGAACGCTGGGGAGGGCTGGTCATGTGATCATGTTAGCAGGGGGATGTGCAATGCAGCGGGGTTGAAAAAGGATGGAGCGGACGCGAGGGAATCGTCATAGACGTACAACTGCTTCGGTTAGACCGAGAGTGGCTTATGGCTTCATGGATTTCGCACATCTGCCAAGGTCCTCAAGGCCCTCAAGACCATCGAGGTCCTCACCGCATTCCGAATGCGGATGGGCGTGTGTCAAACGTCGCGCAACCCTAAGTCTGACCCGCAGCGTGTGACGACACACGCACGCACACACACACACAACCCATACCTAGCATCTCACCCCAACGCACGGCCCCGCCTCACCCTACCCCCGCCACTCGCCCATCTTCGCTCTGATCCCTGGTCCAACAATACACGCCCCGTCCACCTTGGCAACCCTGTTGCCCTGTGGCCAGATCGTTGGTCATCTGCTCTGCATGGCTGCTGCACTGCCTTTCGGTCCCCTGGTCGGGCCATCCAATGTGGCCACGTACCTGGATGTACTGCTGGCTGCGGATGTGGTGATGGGAGGGATGCAGCAGCAGCAGCAACAGCAACAGCAGCAGCAGCCAGGGCAATAGTAGAGCAGTCGTGGTGGCTGAGCATTAAGAGGGGTAATGAGAGGGGTGATGGAAGGGTAAGAGTGCTTAGAGCAACAGCAGTCAGAGCAGCGTTAGCAGCGGAAGGATGTATATCGTATGGGTGTTGTCGAGCTTTGTTGACCCTTGGCCTGTCAGGGTAGGGTGCGACATCCGCGTTTTCCATCCGGTAATCAATTAGTTCAATTAGTAGGCGTTTTAAGAGCAGCAGCTTTGAGGTACAGGAGAAGGATTAACAGGAACTACGACGATAGTGGTTATGTGTATAGATGGTGATGTCGCAAGCTTGGGTTGGCATGTAAATGACATGTCCAGGTGCAATTTTTATGATGCAGGAAATGTTTTTAAGTGGAATTTGGTACCGACGGGGTTCATCAATGGGCAAGGTGGGGTATATAAAACTGTTTCCATGTTATCCTCATAATATTTGCCGTCCCCTTACACTACAATCAGCCTTGAAGGTTGGTGTGTAATATTGGGAGGAAACAAGAGTCATTTGCCAAGTTGCGACCCTGTGACCCGCGACACGTTACATGAACACTCCAGTATCTCCTTTCCGTTGTGGCCGTGATGATTGGTGATGTAGCTAGAGGCCAGGGCTTCCAACCTGTATATTCTTGTTACAGTCCCGTACCATTGCCACACCGCATGGCATTGCATATCGTACCCTGACACATGTGCCGTACCCTGTCTACACACCTTACTCATGTCGCTCTCACGGCTCCCCATAGCTTAACATGAGCAAGACCCAAGACGCCTCAAAACTGGCGGTGGATAAAAGAAAATTATATACTGATTGGAAGAAGAAATGCGCTGGAACCGAAAAGCATCTTGCAACAAAAATCCCCGAAGAAATTAGAAACGCAGCTCAGACCAGCCCTGCCCGAAAAAAACATAATAAGCTACTCGCGCGTCGCGTGTCCAGGTCATTCGCGTTGGCCTCCGCAAGTCCCTCCTGTAATAATACATCTCGTCGAACGCTTTATGTCTGCAGGGCCTCGCCTGTATAAGTATATGTACATTAGCTAACCTCCAGTGCGCCGGAAGCGTTTTGCTCTCCCCAGATCTCTCTCGCCGTCAGCGCCTCGACGTTTCCACCCCCATCCTAACGCCACCCAACCGACTGGTTGATCTATATGGCTGCTATGTGGCAGGGCAGGTCAATTCAGCCCTCAGCAAGCTAGGAACGCACAAGACCGTCGCGCCGCATAAATACAAAATGCGGAATGGAAGTGATGCACTCCAATGCCGCCGACGCGCTCCAAAGGCAAACCCCCCACGCTTCACGTCCAAGCAATCGTCCACACTGCCCTGCGACCCTACACCCGCAGACGCTACCCTCTACTACAGCTGCTTTTACTTCCCCCTAACGGGAACCAGGACAAAACCAAACGCACTGGTAACCATCCAAAGACATGGTCGCTAGTAACCATTCGCCCTAACCCAGCACTTCACGTTCAGAGCACGAACGATAGCGAAGACAAGAAATAGAGGGGCTCACACGGAGAGACAGAGAGTGGCAAGCCTATAGATTTCAGGCTCGGCAGTCATACATCGCTACAAGGTTGCAAACGTGCTGCACCCCTCACGTGAAATGCGCTACTTCGCGCATGTTTGGCAAACTACCCCACTCCACCCCTGACTATTACTCGGCTTCCTCTGGGATATTGGGCGCAGCTCCCTGAATGATAATCCCTCCGCGCTTCCCCGGCACCACGCTGCCGGCCATAATCTCCGCATAGCACTCGGGCAGCGGGCGGTCATTAGGCGGCGCCAGCCACAGGCGCAGCAGGTGCCGTGTGTGGGTGGCGCTGTCCCGGAAGGCTCCACGGTAATGTAGGCACGTGTGGTTGGACAGCAGCTGCACGTCTCCGGGCCTCAGTACCATGCGCAAGCTGAGCTCGGGACCGGAGGCGAGCTCGTTGAACAGGCGCATGGCTTCGTGGTGCTCGGGCTGCAGCTTGGGTACCTCGGGGTGGCGCTGGCTGAGGAGGTAGTAGTTGTCCGAGTAGTTGACGGACAGGTAGCCCTTGTGGTAGTTGAACACTGGGATCTCGAAGAAAGGCTTCTTGCCTGAAGAGCAAAGGGGATGAGTGCGCTTGCATTAGTTAGGGGCCGGGAGAGGACGTTAATAATTTGGCTGGGAGCCAGGCCTTCCAGGCCCGTCCAGCATGTGGCGCAGCAAGTTTCACAAGCCATTCATCTCACCATCCGTCCCTTCCTGGACAAACTCGCACACAGTTACCATTCACTTCCACCCAAGAGTCCTCGCGCGCCCTGTCCGCCCAAGTCCGCCGAGACTCAGCCAACCCCTTACCATCCGGCACCTCGGTTTTTCGGTCGAAGAACCATGGTCCCGCAAGCACGCGTGCGAGGTGCGGGACTCGACGCAGGATCTCGTTGTGAACGGAAATGGAAGACGACCACCCGCTGTCGCCCCCCTCTTCCGCGTCCGACAGGCACAACAGCGCTGTTCGGGGTTTGCGGACGGACACGTTTTTATGTGCGCAGAATGTGAGTGAAGAGCAAGGCCGTCAACAGAGCGAGTCATGGAAAAAGCAGATGCAGCAGCACATCTCTGTGCGTAATAACCCGTCCCTACAAACCCATATCATCAGGGTTAGCCACTTATTTAGAGCCGCTACTTATTTAGACACACCGATACGAAAAGGCAACAGAAACAACACAACGGCCGAATGAGCTTCACTGCACAGAACTGCACAGGAAAGCTCAAGTTCAAACGCGTTGACACGGAAGCGATGACAAGGGACGCACGCATGCAGCACACCTAGCCAGCTTTCTTAAGTGCAAACTAAGCTCTGCCTCACAAAATGATGCAGCACTCTTTTTTGACTTACATACTAGGTCCGCCGGGCCGTCGTTATGCCAAGGCTGTGCGGCATTGGTGGCGTAGAGGCGCGTAAGAGGGTTCTTGGGGTCGTGTCCAATGTCCTTGATATGGCCCACCAGATGACCCTTGGCGTTCTGCGGCACCGCACGGCCCCAATGCAGCCCCAGAATCCAGTACGCGGCCAGCTGCTGCTGCCGGCTGTACCGCCACACAGGCACGCCGCGAAGCAGCGCCCAGCCGCGGCCGAACTGCGCCTCCCGACCGGCCTCGAACAGCGGACCGGACAGTGTGGGCAGAGCGAAGTCCGACAGGTCCACATCCTGAGGGAGATGAGTAACGGCAGGATGAGGAAGACAGAAGTGTGCGGTATGGGTGAGAGTGGTTCCGTCGAGGGCCAACGGAGGCAAACCCACATGGCCTTTTCATGCGGCACCCGGCTCAGGGCGTCTGCATACTGGGCAGTTCCGTGCAAGGCATTAACCCCACGGTCATATTGGTGAAAACGAGTCGACATGGCCCACAACCCACAACGCAATTTGCCTAGGCTTGGACCCAAATCGCACAAGACTCAAAACCGCTTCAGTATCCATTTACAAGGCCCGACCCCGAGGCTCTCCGTCCTGTTTGGTGAATTAGATCCCTGATACCTGCAGCCGCTTTCCACTCGTCAGCACTGCCTCCACTGCAGCATCTAGCTCTGCGACATGGTCGGCGGTCAAATGGAGCATGTGGTCCTCCAGGACGGGGAAGTCGGCAGCAGTCCACGCATCGGGTCCCTCGATAATGGTGTAGGGCAGCACGGAGCCTTGACTGCGGTGTAAAGGAATGCGTTCGTATTGGTTGTTAGCGACAAGCCGGTTGGTAAACGGTCGCGGAAGGATTTGTAGGAATTGCAATAAAGTGTGCAACGGGTCGTTTGCTGCAATATGCAACAAAGACGGAATGTTTCTTTGCTGGTATTCCGAGACATGAACTTGAGTCTTCGACTTCACCTGCTGGTCTTGAGCTCAGTGGCCATCCTGAAGTTTTAATATAGAAAATTCAGATAAGTCACGAGCGCCTAAGTAAAATTAATGGACCGATTCACTTTCTCGCGAATTAAATGACCACCTGAAGGAAAAGATAGTAACTAATGTCCTGATATTATGTTTATATACCGAAAACAGTTTACCGTTGCCATCAATTCGCGGGGGCCTGGTGGCCTTCGAACTGTGTCACACTTTTGTATGGCCTCGCGGCCAATCCGTCACACTCTCACGCATGCGCTGCCATGGCCTACCAACCTGATGTGCATTTGCATGGACGCTGAGCTAGGAATTAAGTAACGACAAAGTTCACATTAATCAAATGTAAGGGTGCTTGGGGCTGTCCTCATCTTACTATTGGAAGCCACACATGGCGACATCTGCACCCTTAAGTTGGGGGTGTACACCTTACATGCTGACATGAATTTCACGTCAAAGAATTACTAGTCTCCTTAAAACACGAAGTTGGACGGTCTGCATGACTGGAGCAACTTCCCGACGAACGTCCGTTAAAGACGTCAGACCTCGGCTCGTTGCTTTGGCATTGGCTGTTATAAATGCAAGTACAAGATCCTTGTCATTAACAAGTCCGGCATATACGTCTGAATATACTGTCATGGTTACCGGTGCGGTATTGTCCGGTGGCGACGACTGGCGACTTCGCTCTAGTGCATACTGTACGAAAGGCGTAAACTCAGCTTTGCATTGGAAATATATTCAACTTCATAATAGCTTGGATGCTGTTATTACAAGTGGGACAGGGAATCAACCCACATCACTAGCCGTACATGCTAACGGTTGAAAAAACAACACACCCCAGGGCAGATCAACGAGCCGTGCATTCGCAAGTACCAAAAGTCCACAAATTTTCATGGCTTAAAATGAAAAGAAAGGTCACAGCGTACACTCGGACTGTCGGACAGGATGCAAGGACAAGAAGAGGGACAAGGAGCCAACCCTCAACGCTAGCCGAAACGCAGACAGACTCCCTTCGGAAGCCGGACAGGCGCAAGTATCCAAGGGCTGCCTATACCAAGCCTACAGCAAGATTGCCGCCGGCGACTTAAGGCAGGTGGCTTGGAACACACTACCGCGACTTACGAAACAAAGCCACCATCAAGTCCAGACCATGCCCACCCCGCGGATAGTCCCCGGGGTCTGTAACACAGCCCGAGGAAACCGCGAACAGCCTACAAGGCGTGTGGAAGCCAGCGAAAAGCATACCTTATCGACTGGTCACCGATCGGTAACCGGGTCCAACCCGTCGGTAGGTTGGGGCCCCGGTAGGCTTGCCCAGTGGAGTTACCTACCGGCCTTCACCCTACCGAATTGGTAGCCTACCCAACCAATCGGCCGGCCGTACAAAACTCGGTTGACCGTAATGGGATGTAATCTAAGGTGCCTAACCATGCATAAGAAGTGCCTGTCCGCACCTGGTTCAGTGAAGCGACCAAAGACCTGCCTGCTGAGCTGCTGCGTGCTGCGTTGCTGGCTGGTGCACGCTGACATATGAAACCTTTCCTAACAAGACTGCCCATGTATACATATTAAGATTTCGCGCTAGTCTGGGCTGATGTGGGGTGTTTTTCCTTTTCTCCGTGGCTTTTAGGCGTTGTAGTATTGCCCTTGGGCCTTCGGCTCGTATGGGTAGTCTTACAGGTATGGGGTCACGCACCCCCAACCATGTAACACACACACAGATTTAATTGAACATACGCCGTACAGAGATAAATTTCAAAACTTGGGCCAAGTTCCACAGGCCCCACAAACAAACAGTTTTAGGATACAATGCTCGTCATTGCACCTTGGGGTGAAACTATGATGATCCCTACTATGATGATCCCTAACTTTGCCAATCATACGCGACTCGGCCCGGAAGTAGTCTTAATGAAGAGCTACATCACATTGAAAACCTACACAATCTTGTGGTTGCAATCTGGTGGTTGCCGTATATGGAAAACACGCGCTAGGGAAGGGCGGAAATTCCGCATCCTGGCTTGTCTAGGGCCGCCAGCTTGTAACATAACGTAACCCTGCATTCACTGCAACCTTGGAACGGGCCATGGGCTAAGTTCTCTAAGTTTTGGGGGAGCTGACGATAGTACTGGAGGACTCTCCCCTACCGAGCTGCCGCCTTGTTGGCCTTCTTTAGTTAGTCAGCTTAACTCTGCATGTGGTTTAGCACCCACTGACGCGTGGCCCCATCAACAAGATGGTAAGTTAAATGCACAAACAAGGTGTGTGCATTCTACATCGGCCGGAGCGACTAGTTTGTTCACGTTGCGAAGAAGTTGGTACTGCAAAACGTTTCAAGCGCGGCCTCGTTAAAATCCATCTTCAATTCCAATCCCCATTATTTTATTTCCACGAGCTGTTACTGACACATCTTGATATTTCATGATTCTGGCTGGTCAAATCAAGGCTAAGTTCAGATTTCGCTAGGTTGCATAGCATGACAATAGCAGCAAAACGCGAGCCTGAAACATCGTCCTCCGTTACAAATCCATGGTATCCATGAATTTCAATCGTCCCTTTCACGCCACGTGAAACGTTGCTTCTTTCCTGCTCCGCGTTTTCTAGTGCTTGCCGTTACCTGGCACGAGGAACTCCCCTCACATTGAGCCCAGCCTGACCCACATGGGTTATTGGAACATTCACATACACCGATGTCGGGGAGCAATCCTTTACAATTAGGGACCAAAGTCCCTGTCTTAAGTTCTGTAGTATCTCCGCTGCGAGGCATCCGCCGCTCATTGCCGTACCAAACCCCCAAAACCACCTCCAAAACCCATGACGTCCCGTCCTTACCCCTGTCACGCACAGCGGACTTCATGTGTATCAATATGATTACATACAAAGAAAAATTGCGCATGCCTGCGACTTCCGGATGAGTTTTGGTGGCATTCGTGATTCACAATTGCGTACTTGCATTGCTACAAATTGTAGTTTGCAAGGCCGTCGCTTCATTTTTGTAGATTTGAGCTTAAAATGCATTGATTATGGCTCTGTTAAAGCTGGCGATGTTGAGATTGGTGCGTCTTCATGAGGTCTGAGTCATGCAAGACGCACGGCACCTGAGCATGGCATAACCCCGGCGAGCCTTATGCGTACTTGTCAGTGCAAAGCTTTTCTATCTATTTATTTATTATCACGTCTTGAGCTTGCGGTTTGCAGCTGTAGGCGGTGTGAAAGGAAGTGGAAGAGGTCCTTGCAAAGGGCTCCTTGTAGTGAGTCCAGAAATATGTAGCCACAAAAAGACTTAAGGCATAGCATAATTATGATAAGAGAAATTCCTATAGTTTGTTCAGCCTCACACTTTGTGCCGACGCTGTCCGCGGCCTCGTCGGCCTGCCGAAGGTCCCAAGCCTGCTGTTCCGTTGGCCTCCGGGCCTCATTCGCCCACCCATCGCACGCACAAATAAGTGGCTAGTTTAAAAGACGCTTTATTCATTATTTTACGTATATTTTACTACCTGTTGCGGGCTGCACATATGCCCACGTCTGCCTAATCGACGCTTCGCCTCTTCCGCCCTCCAATCGCCGCTTGTCGGCGAGAACAACGAATTAGCTTTCATCCATCTTTGTATGCAAAGATGGACTGTGGACGCTGCTTCGCTGGTGAGACAGGAGGAGGGTTCGCAGACGGCCATTCGCGCTCCTCGGCCCCTAGGACTCAATGCGGCTTTGTTGGCAACAATCTATAACGTTTGTCAAAAGATGTTTCTTCGATTAATCACTTTAATTTGCTTCGATGCCCTTACGCTTACTTACGCTTTTACATCCTTCGGAAAATCCCTGTCTTGCAGGTGTCCCTTGCGCTTGTTGTTGCCGCAACTGCTGCTCTGCCTCCTGCTGTTGCAATCAGTTTGGCATGCTGTGAATTGGCCTTCGCTGCGTCCGCGGCTGTTCGTTTCAGCGTCCATAGCTCGCCCATCGACGCATCAACTTCCAAAACCTTTACCACAAACCCCCGCAAGCGGCGCGCTTCATCTCTGGGCCTGACAATCTTTGGTCGCCTTATTAAGCAACAGTCGGATGCCGCCTCCCTGTCCGGTGATAAAAGCGTCTCCCCCAAGTTCGCTGGTTGGCTATGGGAGACTACGCCCTCCAGCTGCTCGCACGCGGAACAAGTGGCTGATAAACTGTTTGACGAAAAGGTACTTGGCCAATCAAGCTTATGTCATGTGCCCATCTCCCATGTATGGAATCTACGATTTAATGGGATTTGTGGGGATTAAAACTTGTCGTAAACTGTGCTCGCGAATCATTTGCTATTTTCATGGCTTTACGGAGGACAATGATACCCTTCTCCATTGAAAGAGGGCTCAATAGTATGTAACATTATAGCAAGGCGGTGCGCGCGGCGGTTCCAGACGGCAAGCGTCCCAAAGTCCATCTCATGCGAGTCCGACAGACATGCAAGAAACTGCTTTGCAGAACCCGGAGTGACCACAGCGCAACATGCACCCCTCCCCTTCCTCCCTCTCTCCCTTTCTCCCGTCCTCCCTGGAATCTCCCTCGCCCTCCCAGGAGGGTCACCTAGATTTGCTTCAGGGTGGTCATCTCCTGGCCCAGTGGTTCAGCGGCTTAGCGGGGCCCCACCAGCTACATATCAGCCACGTCACCCAACTGCTGTCGTACTTGCTACTGCCGCAACAGGCCCAGGCGGTATCTGAAGCTGCAGCCCTCGGAGTTGAACAGAACAACACCGCAGCTGCTGCTGGTGCTACTACTGCAGCTGCTGCTGATGGCGATGTTGCGTTCGAGCACTCCGACGGTGAAGGCAAAGACAGCAGCGGCAGCGGCAGCGGCAGCACCCGTGTTGCTACAGCTTCCTCCATCCCCTGCCCCCGTATCCGTACCTGGGCTTGCCGCCTTATGGAGCTCGTACATGGCTCGTCCGGCGATACTGACGCCGCCGCTGACGCCGCCGCCGCAGGCGCCGTTGACGCGGCTGCTGACGCCAAGCTTCTGGCCTGTACGGCAGACCCTCTGGTCGCCAGCTACCGCCCGCTGGTGTTCTACCTGCTAACCGAAGCTGTAGCTGCTGCGACTCACATCGCCCTCCTTGTAATGGGTTTTCGTGCTACAGCCACCCCGGGCGGCACCGCCACCGTCTACACGTGGAGCCCTCCAACCGCGGGCACTACTGCTACAGCCGCCCGCACAGCAACGGACATCAAGAAGGGCGGTGACGGTGACGGTGGCGATGACGACGATGCGCCGCTCCTGTTCCTTCACGGCATCGGGCTGGGCCTTACGCCGTACCTGCGGTTGCTGAGGAGGCTGTTGGCTGCATCAGGTGGCCGACGGCACGTGTATGCCGTACAGACAAAGCACGTGTCCATGCGGCTGACCTCCACCATCCCCGCACCGCACGAGGTGGCTGCTGACGTGGCGGCCTTCCTGGCCGGCAGGGTGAGACGGGGGGTGTGTGGAAATGAAGGATTAGGGTCGGACATTGAAGTGAATGGCAGTGTTATGATAGAAGGCTCTGAGGGGATTTGAGACGGAGTTGCCCCTGGGGCCAACACACATCTCGGGGGGGTGCGGTGTCCCCCATGGTGCCCCCTCCGGGTGGCCGGGTGGCTGTCCGTTGCCTGCACGTTATCGGCACGGTGTTTCGCTCCTCTCGCCCGTCCGTCCGTCTGTTTCCGTCTCGCAGCTCTATCCCGCTCTTTCCCCAGCCACGCCCCAAAACCCTTCTTCACCTCTTCTTACCCCCTTCTTCACTTCCTCTCCCCCTCTTTCCTCACATAGGGTGTCGCCCGGGTATCCCTGCTGGCTCACTCGTACGGCACCCTGATCGCCTCCGCCCTCACGAAGCTGGCCGCCGCAACTTCCACCGCCCCACGGGTCACTCGCCTCACCTTGGTGGACCCCGTATGGTACGTTGTGGGGTACGGGTTACGGCTAGGGGATGACTGGGGCCTGGGGAAGCTCCTTGAGGAAGGAAGGCAATGGATTTAGGCAATATTACGATGATCGAAACATCAACAAGAGCTTATTCCGTTGAGGGGAGGAGGGGATGTTGCAGCCGGCCAGTTCGTTCCATGCCATTGCACCTTTGTAGCCGTATTGTAGCCATGTCCTCTCCAGAAAACCTATTTTAAAGTTATATTTACTGCGCTTCATCTAAATATACTCTTACGTTTTGCCTGTTTATCCTGTCCTACGCCGCCCCTTTCCCTTTTTTCCAGCTTTGCCATGTTTCTGCCGCATCTGGTTCGCAACGCCATCTATCAGCAGCCCCTAAACAACCAGCACCAGCAGCCGGTTAGCACGCCGCCGCTGCCGCCTCAGCAGCCCCAGCAGCCCCACCAAGCCCAGCAGCCCCAGGGCGCCAAGCGGTGCCCCCTGCTGCGAAACCTCATCAAGGGTGAGCCCTCGGAAGCGGAATGGTACCTGAACTGGAATAGAATCTATGTGAGGACTACGGACCCTGCTCATGTGTACGGCTGCTAAAAACTTGTGTATAACGCTGTTCGGCCGTCCTGCCATGTTTTGGATCCCTCGCCGGTCCACTAATGGGGACGTTCGCTCTCGAAGCTGCCCTTCATCTTTCTCCCTTCCCCGCTTTCCATCGTTCCCTACCTCCCAACCAATACCGTTAACTCTCTCTCTCTCACACATCACAATCAGCGCACCCATACCACCTCTCCCTTCCCGCTACCGGCTGCCCTCCATCCCCAACCCTCCCTCCCTGCCCCCCCCCTCTGTCCTGCGCGGCCCCCCTCAAGGTCTCGTGGTGGCTGAGTTCCACTGCTCTGTGGCCCTCCGGCGCCGTCTGGACTGGGCCCGCGTGAACCTATGGCCCTCAGAACTGCCCCCCCGATCCACCGTGGTGCTGAGTGGCCGGGATAACTTGGTGCCGGTGCGGGAGGTTCGGAGGATACTGGTGAGTGTGTGTGGGTGGGGGGGGGGGGGGGGGGAGGAAAAACGGAGTTGGGACGGGAGGTAGGAGAGGGGGGTTGAGGAGGTAAAGGTGAGCTGCGGGTACAAAATGTAAGGTGATGCCAAGGAAAGGGAGATGAGGGTCCTACGGCCCTCTCAAACAGGGGTGACAGAGGATGGCGAGTGGGGGGCTAAGAGAGGTAAGAGGGTAAAGGGAGGTTAAGAGGGTTTGACCTCACACTCCCTTTTCCAGTCCACTTCTCTCCAAATTCTCTCCCCAGTTCTTTTCCCCCGGCCCGCTACAGTGCCCGTTGCGCTACCCTTGCACTGCCCTACACTACTACTATACTATCCTACACTACCCCTGCACTCCTAGCTCCCTTCCGCTGTTCACTTCCCTCCCCTGTCTGCATGCATGTATGTCCCCCCCCCACCAGGCCAACCGCGCCGCACTGCTAGGTACCTCCTGCACCCACCCCAATGTGGTGTTCCGGGAGGACCTGGGACACGGCGGTTTCCTCACTGACGAGCCCTGCCAGGAGCAAGTCATTGCGGCGGCGCTGGGAATCGAACCGGTGCGGGTCAGGGAGGCCATCAAGACCTCCACCACCATCAACAACAACATCCAGCCGCAGCCGCAGCTGCAGCTACTGCCACTGAATTTTCAGCTGCCAGGCAGTGGCCGAATCCACCGCCGGTTCCTTCTCCCAGATGGCGCGGCTAGTGATGGCCACACCACCGCCCTCACACCAGCGCCAGCACCAGCACCAGAGCGCCGACTGCCGTCATCCGTTATGTCGTTAGCGGACGGGTACACGCTAGCGGCGGTGTTTGGGCGACCTAGGAACGACGACGAAGTGCACGGCGCGGACTGGCTCCCTTCATCACTTCCCCATGCGCAGCGACTGAGACTGAGACCCGTTCATCTTACTGAAAACTCTGCGACCGCCACTGCTGCCGCCATCATCACAGCCACGAAGAAGCGGTTCACCGCAACGACCATCATCTCATCCCGTAAGAACCCCGCAACAGCGCTACTGCCGCCCGGCCATCTGCTGTTTACGCGGGCGCCAGGTCCCCTTACGTTGCTGCCGCTGCCGGCTAAAGCCTTCCCGCCTGCTGGGCCCGCTAGCCAGATCCCCTTGCAGTCCCTGGCGGCGGCGTCCACGGTGCTTCTTCTGGGCGCTCTCAGTGCCGTGGGAGTGCCCTTGCAAGTGAAGTACCCAGGCGGTGGCAACGTCAGTGGTGGCGGTTCCGCGCCGTCGCGTTACGTTGATGACGACCGGCGCCGCCGCCTCGTGTTGATTGTTGTGGGGCTGGGTGCCATCTCCGATGTGCTAGATGGGCCCCGGAGGGAGCAGTACATCAGACAGCAAGAAGCCCTGGCGGCTGCTGCAGCGGTGCCGCCGCTGATACCGATGCAGCAGTGGCCGTTGCGGAACGGGAGGCGGCGGAGAGCTCCCGGCGGCGGCGGCAGTAGCGGCAGTAGCGGCAGTATCAATGGCGTGTTTCTACGGGGTTATACAGCTGCCTACCGGCCCACACGAGCCGTTGTTGCGAACATGCCGGTCTTCAAGGCGCCGCTGCCTGCAGTACGTACTGTACGGCAGCTGCGTGTGAGCGCCGCCACTGGCGGTCCTGCTGCCGGTCGCATGTGGTTGTGGCCGTAATGTGCCATTGGGGTATATGTGCAGAGGGATCGTGTTGTTGGGGTTTCGGAGCGCCGCCTTTCCCAACTGATGTCGGAATTCGGACTGTTCAGATTTTCTCCATAATAAGAGATATTCAAATCGCCGAGAAGAATATATGGCGGCAAGATATGATATGCGACACAACTGCAAAGCAGGGGGTGCGCTGTAAGGGATGGCGACCAGAGCTGCGACTGGTAATCGCTGGCTATTGCTTAGGTTTGTTACTGCCGTAACTTTTTTCTTCTTTTGGACTCTCTTCCTTTCCAGTCGTCCCATGCGCTGTTTGGGGTGCTTGCAGCTGGGGCCCATGGAGCTCTGGGTGCAGATCGCGCACCACCCGTACATTTGTTCCTTCATTTTTTTTGGGGTGGCGGACCGGAGCCGTACAGCAGCAGGTGGCAGCAGCATACATACTCCAGAACCCGCATCCAAAAATTTACGTCGCTGTGCCGCTGCTGCTGTTCGGTTCTCTTGGTGCGCTACCTTATCATTGTGGTAGGTGCTGGGCGACTTGTCCAATGCCGTCGAACGGAGTCGAGACTCAAGCGCGACATTTTGGTCGCTTGTGTACAGTTAGTTATACTGCATTCCTTGTATCCTTTTCCAAGTTTTTATTATAGTTTGTTTTAGGTTGGTGAATGGAGGGCTGTGGCGGCTGTCCTGATGGGAATAGAGAGATTGCCTTTTCTCAAATAGAACCATGTGATGTGCTCACCGAAATGATGATGATGATGATGATGAT